GTTCACCGCTAAAATAATCGAGAAAATATCTCATTTATTGATATTTTTTCTAACTTTGGGCAAAACGTAATCATAATTTTTAAACGCGAACTAGTAATAATGGTGTCATTTTAAAAAAAATTGTAAATTTAACTAAAGATATGAAACGCGAACAGAAGATAAAGAAGCAGAGATAACAATACGCCGTACTTAAATGTGTAACCCATTTCATTTTAAATTTGGCTGTCTTTACCCAGCCTTTCGTAGCCTGGAGCCGCTGCCATATTCAAACCAGTATAGAAATGACCTTACATTTTTTAACAGTTTTGTATGTGTTCTGCAGCTTTTTAAATAAACGGATCCTTGGAAGTGGTGGGACGTTTCTGAACAACTTAAACAACATAACCTATTTTCTACGTACACGTACTGGATTTAATCATTGATTTAGTTATAACGTTATGCCTAACGCTAGCGACAGAGACACCAAGAAACATGGATTCCTCCTTTCAGAAAAAAACACGCTTAAGATATTTAGCGATGTCACTTTACAGTAACACATGGTGTCGTGCCTTTCGCATTTCTTGATGTTGTGAAGTAAAGCTCCAAAGACAATTTCTGCTTCTTAATTGTTTGGCTCCTCGAGTGACTGTCAATGTTATCTACATAATTTAGATAATGAAGAAAGCGATCTACTCTGGACTAGTCTATTTGAGCTGGGTTGGATACAGTATTGGAAGAGAGTTAGGAAGATCATAATTATTTTGTTAAAACTTCACCACATTAGAAAACAATTCAAGTCTTTTGCGATTAAGTCCCAAGAGACAAACCCATTCCCCACAGAAACCGGTTTCCCAGGCTCGCATCTTCTCTTTTCATTTCACTTATTTTTCAATTTGGTACCCTGCTTATTGAGTGATAAGTGACCTCGGCGACTCGAAATTAATATTAAGTAACATAAGTGACAATGTGAAGTAGATGGAGCAAAAGAAAGATTTATGAAATGCGACTTTTGAAAATATAGGCCTACATAGCCCCAAATCTTAACCATGATCAATCACAGTGGCGTTACATCTCGACAGTCTCGAACTAACTGTTCTTTATCGTTCACATTCAATTCAACTTTACCCAAAAGGAGAACAGAAGGAAATTAGTTGCACAAAAACATCTATTTGTGTGCACCAGACAGTTCGACAGAACCAATACTTGATCGTAAATCATGTTATTGTGACTAAACTTCAGAGAAACAACAAAGTGCATGTCTTATAATCTGAAAATTCCTTGCTCAGCCTTCAGGAATCATGGTATCTTTTTAAAGCCCTTTTGAATCAGTTGCATTGCACTGTGTTCTCAATCTTGTAAGCTTTATAGATAGAGAAGCGGGATCTCCTATTTAATACCCATCTCCGAAATGACTAGCTGAGCTACGTGGAAAGCAATGGAACTTCCCCAAACAGCCGAAGTACATAAATCCCAGGGGATTAAAGGATTCGAACTCCCTTCGTAGCCTCATATGACTGAGCAGGCACATCATCCTCCTTCATAAGTGCTGTCTTGAGAAACTCATTCATGTGAAGTGTGCTGACAAAATGAGTTACTTCTCGCAACCTACAGGTGGAAATATTGGCGAAAAACACTAGGGTCAAATTTGTAGATTTTCAATTGATACCATTCATTTGCATTTTAAATTCCTGCTTCTTATTATTTCATACTTATATAAATTGCAAAAATTTCACCTATAAGCTTGATGCATCTATTTCTATTGGGCTCAAATCCGAGAAGTAACGTATTTTATTTCTGAAAAAGTGGTGTTAAACATAGAAAGAAACCAATGGTGCCCCCGAGATGATGTCGGAAGCGTCGGCATGCCCTGAACGAGGTCAGCAGCTGATGCCAGTCTTTGTGTGGACAAAAACAGTCTTCGCCCGCGGGTTTGGATAGACGGTTCAGAAGCGAAGAAGCAGAGCCTCGGTGGGACTTGTGCGTTCATTTCTTGTTTGGTCGGCTTCCTTTTTGGTGTTTTGGAAGACGGCTCAGGGTGCTCAGGCGTTCAAGGCAAGTTTCTTGAGTAGAAAGCGTAGCACGTAAATCATTATAGTACTACGTATCTTTGTCTTTACCTCCTTGTCTCTTTTTCATTCCCGCTCTTTCTCTGTCTCTCTCACACTCTCCCCCCTCTGTCTCTCTCTCTCTCTCTCTCTCTCTCTCTCTCTCTCTCTCTCTTTCTCTCTCTCTCTCTCTCCCTCCTCTCTCTGTCTTTCTCTCTGTCTTTCTGTTCTTTTTCTCTCTCCACCTTTGTCTGTCTACCTGTCTGTCTGTCTGTCTGTCTCCCCCCCTCTCTGTCTCTCTCTCTCTCTCTGTGGGGGAGGGGGGGATTGCATGTGTGTGTGTGTATATCTTGTTTTCTAAAGTAAATTCCTAGCCTTTTCATGGAGGGGGAAGGGAGGGGGGACCAGGAGAAAGTATAATCCCTGTTTTTTCTCCCACTTTCTCATCCTGCTGCTCATCACCTCAGAACAATGACGCAGTGTGTCCATTTGTAAGCTTGTAAATAGTGTGACGTAGTTTTAAGTCGTGTTCGTACGACTTAAATTGTTTTGAAAACAATCAAGTTTCTGTCACGGCTTACTAAATACTAAATGGATTTCAAACAGTTAATGTCATATGCTCACTAAAATGTTATTTGGGCGTTTAAAGTTAACATTTCGTCGTGTGATATAATAATAATGATAATAATAATAATGATAATAATAATAATAATAAGAAGAAGAAGAAGAAGAAGAAGAAGAAGAAGAAGAAGAAGAAGAATAGTAATCTTACTACTAATGGAGTTAAGGCCAAATTTTGCGAACAGTATACTCTCAAAAACTACCGAATTAAAAAATATGAAACTTTGCCAGTACCCATAACTTGAAACGTAGTGTTGCACTATTGTATTTTCATTAAGATCAAATGTATAAGAAGAAAGCCCAGTTTAAGTTAAATTCAGTCCTTTTGGAGCGATTGCCATCATTTACTTCGACAATGTATATTCACTGCGGAGTGCCGACTGCGCCAAAGGGTATTTTGTGTTCAGTTGCACATACAGTAGGTTTATGGGAATTCCCGATTTCGGTCTCACGCCTTTAGGAGGAGGAGGAAGAGAAGGAGGTAGAGGAGGAGGAGGAGGTGTAGAAGAAGAAGAAGAAGAAGAAGAAGAAGAAGAAGAAGCAGAAGCAGAAGAAGAAGAAGAAAGAGAAGAAGAAGAAGAGAGAGAGGAGGAGGAGAGAGGAGGAGGAGGAGGATGAGGACGTGATGAGACGAGATGAGACGAAGAAAAGATGACGAGGACGACGAGATGGATGAATTAGAGGAGGAGGAGGGGGAGAACAAGAAGAAAAAAGGAGAAGAAGAATCAAGTAGTAATACATGTTACAAAGTGGTGACTTTTTCGTTTGTTACCCCACCTTGAGAGAGAGAGAGAGGGGGGGGGGATATATATATATATATATATATAAAGGAGGCCAGAAAGCACTAACAGAGGGAAGGTGGTGAGACTGACATGGAGGGTGTCGTCGAAAGCGTAAAGTGTAGTCTAGCCTACCGTAGGTCTACTTAATGTATCGAGATAAATCGAGATCAAGAAGAACCACGAAATTAAAAAGTAGAATCTAGATCTGTGATATTTCGATTACCTATTGAATATTGAAAGTGGATTTTTCTTGCTGAGCATTATAGGTTCTAAGATGGAGATCTAGGCTAGATCTATGTGAATCTTAGATCGAGATCAAGAATGATGAAAGTATTGAACGTGGATTTTTTCCTGCTGTGAATAGATCTAGAGTCTAGAACTAGGTTGTAGGTAAATCTAGGCCGAGATCAAGAATCATGAAAGTACATGTATTCTTGAAAGTGGATTTTTCCAACTGTGTATAGATCTAGAAATCTAGGCCATCTGTGACGCCTGTCGGTTATTAAAAATGTGAATTTCTAAACTTAGATCTATCTATGGGCCACGGCTCCTTCTATCAATTATTGGCTTAGATCTATGTCTTTATAATCCTTCGAGATCTAGGCTAGATCTAGAATCTAAATTAGGTTCTTCTAGGAAGCAACAATTGGCATGTAGGCCTAACTCTAAAAAAAAAAAAAGATTGAGCTGGAACTTTAAGAGAAAATGCCACGCCTTCAAAGAGGGAGAAGAAGTCTTACCCCTAGAGGTAGTCAAGAGGGGGTGCTACATGGATAAATTAAAGGTAAAATATTTTTGTTTTGTTTCTTTCCCGTTTTCAGTCTTTTTCCTCTTCTTAATTTTCCTAATAATTCCTCATTATTATTCCGTGTACTTTTATTACTAGTAGTAATAATTAGTAATTAATGATTTACACTTTTATTTGTCCCAGACGTGCAGTTTAGTTTACAATGACAAACATACACATACATACATAAATGCATAATTATAAGTACGCACATACATAAATACATGCATAAATGTGTACATAAATACACAATAATACACAAGCACAGAACAGTTTACAACCACGTCACTGTCGGTCGCCACTGTGCAGCGCCCTGTGTTTTGAGCTAAGGATGTCGTGTCTTGCTCAAGGACACACCCCCAGGGACCACCCATCTGATCAATGTGTCACCGACACTTGCTTGACATTACTTGAGTCTAAACTCGCTACTCACTTAGCTAGTGGAGCCCCCTGGACTTACTGTAGACAATTTGTTAATACAAAAGGATTTCAAACTCACGCCCCTCCCCCCCCCCCCCAACCGGTCCTTCTTCACTGCAGCTTCCCTAAATATGATTTTTTACCAATCAGCAGATACTGTCACCAGGAAGGAGTTATGGGACATAAAGTCCGTTTCATCATTCCTCTCGCCTCATAGTAAAGGAGAGACGTGTGGAATTTGAAGGTCTCAACCAATAAATAAATCCCATAGTTGGAATAGGCAATGAACTTGTAATATTCCATACCATAAAGTGTATTTTTCAGTCTTTTGAAGTTTTTATTCTTATTTGTATAGTATTTTTTCATTCATTCATTTCCCATCTTTTTCAGATTCATCAGTTTCACCATGCTCTCAGAGTACGTGATAATCCCCTTGGTTCTTTTAACAATACTCTTCCTTATCTATGAAGTTAAAAAGCACAAGAAGACAACAGTCCCTGGACCACCTTTCGTGGAGGGTATTAGAACGCTTTTAAAAGGCCTTCAACAGAATACACTCCATAAGATTGCTGCAAAATGGGCTGCCAGATATGGCGATATCGTAGCAGTCGACGCCGTATTTCGCCAAGTCGTCTTCGTTAACAATGCAGGGCTGGCTCGCAAACTGCTCTGTGATCCGAACACGAAGGATCTGAGCAATGACAGACCACCGTCTTTCACGGGGAAAGAGGTGTTTTTAAGTTACACAGATATCATAACCGCGCCTTACAATAAAGATTTAAGCCAGAGAAGACGACTGTTTCACAATGTACTCAAGTTCTACGGTCAGGGCGTCCACAATTTTGAACATCTGATGAAAACTACTTCTCGGCAATTAATTGATCGTTTGACACAGTACGAAGCGGACGTGCCTCTGTCGATGGAACTCACTCGTTATATCCGCTGGGTAGTTGGGCTACTCCTTAAAGGCCCACACACTTGCGAGGAAGATCTGGAAGCCATGGTGACATTTGTGAATAAAGTAAACGAATCGTACCTTTTTGAAAACGAAATATTCTTAGAAACATTTCCATTTGTTAAACATATCCCAGGTCTGAGGCTTAGACAGCTCGTCTTGGAATTGAGGGCAGCTCATACAGACCTGAAAAACAAAGTCTTCGTCTCTATTAGAGAGACCTTCATGAAAGGGGAGAAAAATAGCATCGTTACCGACTTACTGGATCAGCAAGAAGAGCTGAAACAAAAAGGAAATTATACTGATCTTTCCGATGACGTCATCATAAGCCTTATTTCGGACATAGCTGCAGCTGCCTATGCAACGACCGCAGGTACCCTGACCACCTTGTTTTTGCAGGTCATTAGTGACCCAAAACTGCAGGAACGTATGTATAAAGAAATCCGTGAAGTCATTGGAAATGATGCTCCAAGCTTTGAATACAAACGGCAGATGCCTTACATTGAAGCAACGATTCTCGAAACAATGAGGTATTCATCAGTTTTGCCTTTTCTTTTACCTCATTATGCAAGAAGTGACATTAATTTCGAGGGACATTTCATTCCAAAAAACACTTTCCTCCTCATAAACTCTTGGTATTTCCACCATAGAGAAGACCTGTGGGAAGATCCATGGACATTCAAGCCTGAAAGGTTCCTGGACAGCAACGGCCAACTGCTGGAGCCAGACCACCCGACACGTCAAAACCTTCTTGTGTTTGGGGCCGGCAGACGAGCGTGTCCCGGAGAAAGCTTTGCGAGGATTCGTGTCTTCTTCGTCGTGGTCACATTGCTCCAACAGTACCAGTTTCTTCCCCCGGAAGATGAGGATCTGCCATCTTGCTGCCCAAGAGACTGGAAACAGCTGACGGTGATATCGCCTGATCAGTTCAAGTGCCGGATGAAACCCAGACCCATGACGAGTTAGATAATGGCAATAACGCTTGCTTGAAACGGCACGGAAACCGAACGACACAGAAGAAAAACGCATCGCGGATAATGAAAACCTTACTTTGAGATCTAGAAATACGAAACAACGTTCGAACGATTACTATAATTGTACCGGCATCTGTGGTAGTTTCGATTGGCTTCATCTTGTTGTTTTGTTGATAGACATTCAACCTTTACAAGTTAAAAGGCAAGGGATATGTGGCATGTGATGTGGGATCTTAACAAAATGATGATCATAACCTCATAAGCAACAACAAAAAAGGCTTGTCAAAGTGTTCATGCCGAGATTTAAACTTTAGGTTCACGAACGTATTTCATAATTAAGAGATGCATTGAAAATGTTTTGTGCAGTAGCCTACCAACCAGAAAGCAAAAGTAGAGGCCAAGAGCAAGAAACTATATGAATGTAATGAGTTTATCCTTCAAAGAATTATATAAGCAATAAATTGTTATTTTCTTCACGTTATTGCTGATAATAAATTTGGAAAAAGATGGGACGTTGATAGAAGTATGGGAAACGGGCATTGGTGACAAATGGAAAAACAAAAACAAGGAAAAGGGAAAAGGGGGCAATTCTACATCACATCCAGCAATCTTCTTTATAGAAGTGTGTTCTTATGGAATATGCAAAGAGAAAAGATTGAGGGCAGGTTTATTGGGCGTTCATTGTCCTTAATATTATAAAAGTGTCCCAATTAGGTACAATTAACCTCACGTCCTGGTTCCTGCCCGTGAGTGCTTTCCACGCAAATGGCTGTGACCGAAGTGAGCTATTGAGGAAGAAAGGGCACTCTTATTGTTCTTTGGCTGGTTTCAGACAATTAACTATAAAAGTTACAACTCTTGCATCGAGGACACTCACTTTTACTTTGTCAAGTTTTCGGAATCAGACCAAAGAGAAGAAAGAATCGGACTGGGAACAATTTATGTCCTCTTGCTTCATTTCTTTCTCTCTGTCTTTCTTTCTTTCTTACTTTCTTTCTTACTTTCTTTCTTACTTTCTTTCCCGTCTAGGTGTCTTCCCACGCACTACAGTACATAGCCCTCTAACAATGACCTCCATTCGATTCTGTCTGCTGTTTTCCGTATCCAGGTTATTGCCGTCGGCTCCCTGATGTCATTTTGCCTTATCTCTGGTCTTCCTACCGAGCGTTTTTCTGTTCCTGGTCACAGTTCAGGGCATTCTTTTTGTCTTCCTGTTATCGTTCCTTCTGCTGATTTGACAACCCCAATTTTATTTTGCCGGAGTGTATTATTCTTTTCAAACTTTGTATGCTTATTTGATGATGTATTCCTGTCTATACCCAGCATCTCCCTTTCCATTGCTCCATGTACTGTCATAAATCTCTGTATTATATTATTCCAGTTAATTTGCAATGTTTGACACCCATAGCTCATTACTGTGACAATGCACAGGTTGTAAACTTGTCTTTTTAGTGATATTAGCAGATTTTGATCCGAAAATATTTTTCTCTATCTTCTAAAGCAGCAACGCCAAACAGCAAGAACTGTTTCCTTGTAAAATGGAAATCGAAAGGATACACAGGCACTGCTTCAAGACTTGTCTGCTTCAATGACCAATTTGCTGAGAAGCTCTTGCCAACAAAGAGTTGCCTTTCTTGTAAAAAGAAAAGAAGAAGAAAAGAAAACAAAGAAAGAAAGAAAAACGGAAAGAAAGAAAGGCATGTGCCAGTCCTAGCAAGCGTACTTAACACTCCTCTGCTTTAAAAAAGTAAGATCAAAGTGAAGTACTTGAGGTACTCGCCTTTCTACCAAGATCAAAATTCTGTGGTATAGACTGTAAGGTATTATGCCATCGCATGCTGAAGAAGTGAGTTTAATGCCTGTAGGAGAAGAAATATTTCGTATCTTCGTCTTTCTTCAGAGACGTTGTGTCCTTCTCAGCCTGTGTTCGCTCTGGCTGGCAGGCTCGAAGCACCCAGTTTCCTCGACTCTTTCGGTGCACTTTCAGGCGTAGATCTTCGCGTTGGCGAAGTATGTAACCCAAAAAGCCGCTTAGTCGGCGCTCTGGAATCAAAGAGTTAAGGGCGGGTGGGGCACCATGTCTATTTTGGCTATAACAAGGCCTAGAGTGCCCATATTTGCTGTGGGACATTGTGTGTTATTGGGGATTTTAAATCAATAGTTTAAAATGTATACTGTGAATCGGTTGCTATGGAAACAGGCGTAAAACGTAATAATTACAATAATTACATTAGAAGAGAATGAAACGCTGAGCACTCATCTTTTGCACTCGAACGTTATCTCGAAAGGTTTTTACGGAATATCTCCCCAGAAAAGATCTTGACTGATCGAAACGAGCAATACAAAGCCGGTCATCATTCAAATATTTTTTTTTCAGATCAACATTCATCATCATTTTTGCATTTTATTATACATGTATAATTTCTGTTCACTTCTTTGTCATAGAGAGTATTTTTGTTATACTTATTTCATAACCCTATTTCAGCAACGGTACATGTAAATGGCTGAAGCTGCTTACCTAACTTTATTATTCACTTAAATGTCCATGTCGACAATATTCGAAAAGAAAATGTAGAGATTATAATATTAGCATATGAGACGAGTGGTCACTGGCAGTTGCCTTTATCAGTATAAAGCTTGTGTATGGTGACCATTTAATTGAAATACCTGTGCCTGATTTAAAAAATATTATGAATGAGCCATACAAAAAAAAAACATATTGAGTACACAATGCAATCCGTGGGTTAACAAAAATACAGAGAACAGCTGATACATAGTCGGTCAGCCAAAATACACAATTTAATAGATACATAGTCATTCACATAATATTGTACATGTACATGAACAATCTCAGACTCCCCCCCCCCTTCCATTTTTACCAACCCCCAACCTCTGGAATGCCACTAAACACTGCTCTGATCCCACATTTCAGTGCTAGCTTGTCGATTTCCTCCCAAAACTGTCGAGTTGTCTGCACGTGGGTCTCGAAAAGAGCTCACAGTTCCTTGTTCTTGATCTATCCCTCAACGCACAGCGTCGCGTGGCGCAGAGTGGACACACGCGGCCCGTCGTTCCTTTACGTGGGTAGCGTCACTGCTGCGAGTTCTAGAACTAGATCTACATAGATCTAGCCTTTCAGTTCTATATATATAGCTATTCTTTCTAGGATCAGTTACTGATGTTTCTTTTTTGTTTGAGTGTGTACTCTGTCTCGCAGTAAGAAAACGGCATTGCCGCATTTTCATCGTGCATAGAGTATAGCTGCTTTTCAGGACATGCTACTTTGTGTATAGTTTCTTTTTTCTGGGGTTTTTTTCTGTCGAGAATACTTAACTGCTTTAGCTGTCATTTATAGTGCATATCTGAGCAAATCTCAGTAGAGTACTTAAATTCTGTTTTTCCAATATGATTTTCTTTGCATAAACGCACTTGTCATTTCCTCTTTACATGCCCATTACGTAAAATATTAACATAATCTTAGAAATGTATGGTACTTTTAAAAAAATTGTAAATAAAACGTATTTCTTTGTGTTGTCATATTTGTTACCACTGTACTCTTTACAGGCGCAGTATGTACTCACTCTCATGGCTGTAATAGCTGCACAAGGGCAGACTTACAGTTGAACGATCTCTCCATCGCTACAGTGCCCATGTCTTCTGTGGTCTTCTGTGTTCTTGTATTAAGATAGATAAGAGCAACTGTACCTCTAGCGGATTCATTTTAATAAAAGAAAAATATTATAGTCTTGGAGTTCTCACATACTGTTGTTAGTCTGAGTGTTTGAGTTTGAACGCTGAAGTGGCAATGATAAAATGCTCTTTAAGTCTGAACTGCCTTTTAACAGTGATCACAATCATAGTTTCCTCTGGGCTCCTGACTCTTTCTGCAGCATTGCTACAACTACTTCTTGGCTCCTTCTGACACCTGTCTTTCAGCAACACCTCTGATCTTAGGGCAGGTAAGATTTAACACCTAGCCTTCTCCGAGGTCCTGTGTGCAGGTTGTGCACGTTAAAGATCCCTTGGTTGTCCCAGATCGATAAAAAATAGGCTTCGGCCGCCACCCTGACAAAATTCAAAATTATTTCCTACCAAAATGAAAATGTTTAATGTGTCCCCCACGCTCATATGACCTTATGCAGTTGCGAGCGCCGTAAAATTATTGATTTTTGCCTATAATAGGCTTTATTGATATAGTTGGCTTGACAATCGCTTTCTGCATCTGATATTATCTTGAGTCCTTTTGGAAACATTTACCAAGGAGAAAAAAATGAGGATGTTGTAGTTGATATTCCAATTGTTTTCCCAAAGGGCCATGTTGGTGAACAACAGGACTTATAGGTTTCAAAATTATAATGAATGTTTCAACAAACAGCAAACGAAGCATTAAAGTAGAGCCGTTTCAATAACATGTTTACTGTTAATGTGTCTGTGTTGTTTTGCCATTAACAATGACTGTTCCTCTAACTAGAGGGACCATATTTTTTCAACAAAAGTAAAATACCAGCCATTGGCTGTTGCACACTTGGTCACTATGTAACGTGAGAAATGTTTGAATATTCCTTACCCCACCTTGAATGTTTTCTCTCACCGTGTTATCCGGTGGAGGTAATGTATGCTACCCTTTCGAACTAGTGATTCAAAAAGAAAATTAATGTTTTGTGTCGACATTAAGACGCTTTAGATGATTTAGTAAGCAGACTCTGCCAGGGCCTCTTTAGACGAAGCAGAATGCAACATCCAAGAAAACGGGCAAAGACACTCGATAACAAAATTCCCTAATCGGGAATCGAACCCACAAATTTGGGAACTACGAAGAAGAACCTATCTATTACACAACCGACGTCGTCGACCCATTTTAAGTTTAGTATAATAAAAGAGTCTATATAACAAGAGGGTCCACTCCTCTCTTTGAGCCAATTAAAAGAGTGTCCTCAAAATTCGGTAGCGCCCTCTTCACAAATGTGCACCCTTTGCGAACAGAGTTACCCTTTTTGTGTGAAAAAAATCAAAGTGAAACTAACACATTTTTGAATAAATAAGAATTCAAATTTCGGAAGAACGCTTTTTTTATGGTTACGCTGACAAAAAAACCTCTTCCGGAGAAAGGGGCGACTGTTTTCTTCGTTTAATTTGACTTTAGAATGAGAGGCGAGAGGTCATTAAAATAGAATAAAACCTAAAACTCCGCACTGAACGAATCCGAACAGCTGATGAACAGCAGTCGATCTGTGCACACAAGATGGTGCTATTCCTATTCTTCTTCTGGAGAAACAAAAGAGAGCTTCAAAACAGACTGCAGTGCCATCTGAAGCAAAGAGCGGACTTCCGGCGGCCACTTTTTTGGCTGAGTGGACCATCTTGTTTTGCACTATCTTTGGTATAACTAACGTTGAAATTTGATTAAAGGAAAACAGTCCCTTTGATTAAAGTTGCGGATGATTCTGAAAACGTTGAAAACAACCAGCGTTAAGCGCCATTTGTCGGGTCGAGCAAAAGGCGTTTTTCTAGGTGAGTAAAAGATTTCACTTCAAGGGAAAAGGTCACAAGAGAACGATTTACTGCCAGTCAAAATGGTTTTGAGAAAATAAGTCGAAAATTTTATTTTAAGGTCAGGGGGATTTGGAGGGGCCGTTTGGTGAGGTTTTATGTTAATATCTTATTTTTCTCTGGTAAGGCCATATGAGTTCGCATGCCAGACCAACGGTTGTCAAAGAAACTAATGTTTGGTGAACTGTAACAATGCAAAAGTTCTCATGTTGGCCATGATAAGAGTTTCTAAGACACCATTAAAGCTTTCTTAAAGGTCGTCAAGATCTTTCATACAACATGGGCACAGACTGTCCGGGACAGCGTTGGATAGCCATCAGTTGTTTGCGAGGGCCCAGGGATCTGTGAAAGCAACATGATTACTGCAGCTGAATAGTGCAGGGGGTGCAAAGGACTAGTCGCTGCCTTAGATTTAAACGTTCTATCTGACATTTTTGGTTGATTTTGGTCTCTAAGACCAAGGGATCAGAAAACAAATTTTAGTGCTCGATCTGCTCTATCCAATTCGTATTATTATCATCGGAATCGTTATCAAGATATTCAGAGAATATCATTAGAAAAAGCTTGACATGTTGTGAAACTCAAAATTTGTTACCGCAAATTTTTCAAAACTGGGTACCTAGCAGATAGAGATTTGTAATTCTAGGATAGCGTGGTGTCAACCGATCTTTAATCGCTGCCACCTTCCCCTGCCCACACTGTGACATAACTTCCCGCAGTAGATCGGCCTGTTCGGCCTTTTCCAAACTCACTCCACTACTTCAGGATGACCAGATGATCTTCAACGTTACGAAGGACGAACAACAACAACGTAATATATACACACACACACACATATATTATATGGTTACAAGGGCTTGGAGTACAAGGCAAAAGAAGTATAATCGTAGCCTATAGTGATGTGCGAGTTTTCTGGAGTAAGGAAATTTGTCTTTTCAAAGCCCGAGACCAGGAACAAAGGTTGGTATACAAACAAATTCTCCGTGTGCCTCCAAATGCAGATGTGAGGACTGCTACAGGTTAAAAGCGCTTCATCGTGGTTTATAAATTAGAAATAGTTCTTAGAACCTTTTTTCTTATTGAAAATACGCAAAAGATTCATAGTCCTCGGTTATAATGTAGGGTACAGAATTGTGGCTTTTGAAAGAGAGTGGCAGTAATTATTAGTCTCTTTCTGTGTTCAGCTTTTCTTGTCCTTACAAAGATGGTTGGTATTTTTAAAAAACTAAACTCTCGATGAAGACTAAAGGAACATAAAATGGGTCACACGGATTTTCTTTAGCTGGGATAAAAATAGACCCATTCATGCAGGTCATGTTTTCACTTGGCAAAATAAATAGTTAGTATTATTATAGTATAGAATTACCTAGCGCTGTAATGCGCGGATGTACCACTCGTTCTGAAAGGCGATACCTCTAATTCAACATCCTTCCCCTCGAAGGGCCAAGCCAGTTCGGTGCAGAGAAAGGAAAATTTTCATTTGAATTCAAGTTAAAACATGTCCCATTTTGAATTAGAATCATAGTTTCAGGCATTAAGTCAAGACGCTGTCGGCACACGCTTTACTTTGTTGACTTTGCTACATATAAACGTTAAGTGTATTATTATCATTAACAAGTCATTGAGATTAGCTTATTATTTTGTTGGCAACTAGAGAAAAGACATGTAGATGTTCATACGATTTATTTCTCAGCGCACAAAGGAAGATTAGTTTTGAAACTATTTTATTGTCATGGTCTTTTCAAAACTTCAAACATAATATTGAGAAAGAAAGGGGGCTCTCGTGGTCTAGAGGTTAAGGTGTTTGTCTCTCATTCAATAAGGGCCGCAAAGGAATTCTGACAGCGAATTTCACCTACTTTCATGCTTTCTTATCAAGTTCTGTCGTCTGCTTTTGTGTCCACTTTGTGCCCCCCCCCCCCGTCCCCATCCCTTTGTCCCCATCTCCGGGGTCCTCGCTCTTTCTGCTGCCTCTTTACTGCAACTCCTTTACCCTTTCTTACTGCTGTCTTTCAGCCCCACCCCTGATGGCAGGGTAGGTAAGATCGAACACCTAGCCTTCTCGGATTAGTTTCGACAAAGTCTTAGAGGTCCCGTATGCAAGTTGTGCCCGTTAAAGATCCCTTGGTGGTCCTAAAATTTTAAAAGTAGGCTTCAGCCGCAACCTGAAAATAATTCAAAATTAATTCCTAACAAACTGAAAATGCTTAATTTTTCTCGTGCGCTCAAATGCAACTGCGAGCACCATAAAACACTAACAAAATCTAACAAAACAAAACAAAACAAACCTCAAAAAAAAAAACCAACTGTAAGTTGACTGTAAGAAAGTTAACAGTTTTATTTATTCATGAATATATACACACCGGCTTCTGTGAGACCCACGTTCTGTTCCCGAGCGGATATTAAATTATAATTTTATCAAAGTATCCCAGTATTTCTGTTGGGACTCTATATACCTCGTAGCCCGGTTTGTCTCTGACAAGCAGGGTCGATACCCGCCTCCTAACTGATCTAAATTTTGTCGAAGGGAGAATGAAAAAAACCCACATAAGATTTTAAAATAATATTACATACAAATAAATATAGATATGGCATAATATCTATCTGTCTATCTATCTATCTATCTATCTATCTATCTA